CCTCTGCTTCAGTTTGTGCCCATTGCCCCTTGTCCTGTCGCTGGGCACCACTGGAAAGAGCTTGGGCCCGTCCTCCTGACACCCACCCTGCAGATATTTGTAAGTATATATTAGGTCCCCTCTCAGCCTTCTCTTCTTCAGGCTGAACAAGCCCAAATCAAGGGAGGCAATCAGCACCGAAATGGTCTTAAGCCAAGTGAATCTTCTTAAGGGCTTGCACAGATCCAGCTATACCCATTCGGTGCAGCGGTGGAGTCCCCATCCCTGGAGGAGTCCAAAAACGTGTAGATGTGGCCCTTCAGGACATGGTTTAGCAGGCATGGGGGTGTTGGGTTGATGGTTGGACTTGATGGTCTTAGAGGTCTTTTCCAACCTGAATGATTCTGTGATTCTAAGATACCTACATGACCCAGGATCCTCAGGTTTGTTTTGATTTAACCGGGAGTGAGGTACCCAAAGGCCTTCTGTAGCCACTTTAAGTCCCACTTTAAAGAGTTATCGAGGCTGAGGAGCTGAAGTCTTGTTCAAAGCCTGTAGCCACAATACCTCCAAAACAAAAAACCCCTTAAGCATCTTACTCCAGCTGGCAGCATCTGAAAATTCACTGCCTGAGCCTAGAAGATGCCTGGCCTGGCAACACGTGGAAGGCTGGCAGGTAACTACAGGAGAGCAAACCGGAGGGGAGAGGACTGGAGCTACCGCTGGTGTCTCCTTCAAGAGACTGGAACGCGTGCTCTCCGGGTGCGGAGCCTCCCCCTGCCTCCCCCCGGCCCCACGGGCACCTCGCCGAGGGCTCGCAGCCCTGGGCTAGCCCGGCCCCCAGCAAGCACTCTCGGTCTTTCGTATTTTCATCCACAGCAATTTTACTGACGAGTCGGGCGCTGAGGGATCAGAGCACGGTAGTTTGCCATCAAGGAAACCGCAAGCAGCAGACAAAGATGTTATCTCTGGCATATGGTTCTTATTTGAGGAAATCTGTCTGGTGACTTTAATTGACACGGCATGGCTTGGGGCTGCTTTTTGTTTCATAACTCCTGGTGGGTTCCCCTAGCAACAGCAAAGCCGGTGACACGGATCCCAGAGCCGAGAACACCAAGGCAGGGCTGCGCACGGGACGTGCCTGGAGATCAGCTGTGGCCTTAAAACGAGCGCAGTTACGTCCCAGAGCAGGGGTCGGAGAACTAATTACTGTTTGTTGTATCTGGAGATGAGCTGGTAGCACTTCAGTGCTGAAGAGGAAGTGGGAGCATCGGTGACCTGGGCTACGAGGATGATGAGGGGACTGGAGCATCTCTCCTACGAGGAGAGGCTGAGGGAGCTGGGCTTGTTCAGCCTGGAGGAGAGAAGGCTGCAAGGGGACCTTAGAAATGCCTCTAAATATCTGCAGGGTGGGTGTCAGGAGGACGGGGCCAGACTCTTTGCAGTGGTGCCCAGCGACAGGACAAGGGGCAATGGGCACAAACTGAAGCAGAGGAAGCTCCAGCTGAAGATGAGGAAGAACTTCTTCCCTCTGAGGGTGACGGAGCCCTGGCCCAGGCTGCCCAGGGAGGCTGTGGAGTCTCCTTCTCTGGAGATATTCCAGCCCCGCCTGGACGCGGTGCTGTGCAGCCTGCTGTGGGTGACCCTGCTTGGGCAGGGGGTTGGGCTGGGTGACCCACAGAGGGCCCTGCCAACCCCTCACATTCTGTGATTCTGTCACCTTTGGGCTCGGCTGGTTGCAGTCAGGGCTTCTTAATCCATGTTTAGATACCAAAATTAAGTGGCCTGATCTTCAGAAAAGCCAAGCACCTGTAGCTTCCAGGAGTTTCGCTGAGTTCTGTAGCAAATATATTTCCAAACCCCAGTTACTCTCCTGCAGGTACCTAAACAAGCATCTGGGACCCTGGCTTTGGGATTGAGACTCCAATATTTTTGCTTCGTGTGTTACAAACAAAGGGAGAGTTATGAATAATTAGTCTGATGTTAAGAGAATAATTTCTCACCTGAACCCCCACCCTCTGCGGCAAGCAGAGATGGGCTGAAGGTGTTGGGATGCCCTTCTTGGTTAGGAGGCTGGCCCAAAAGCGGACAGGGTGACACAGCGGTGGGGTGAGTAGGGGCAGGGTGGTTGTGAGTAAAATTCTCAGCGTAGAAAAATACAGGAACAGCTGTTAATGACACATAAGTAAATGATCTGAGCAACTCCGTGGCAAAAAATGAACGCAGGAGTAAATAGTGAGAAAGCATCTTCTGGGCTTCCTCACCCGGGATGAGCCAGGCTCAGCGCCCAAGGGGGAACAGGAGCGGGGCGGCAGGGAGGGCTCTTGCATCTTCCTCGGCGCGGAGGGAAGGCAGGTTCCCAGGGCTTCCAGCTTTTCCAGTGGAAATTCCTCTTTCCTTGCCCTCCAGCCTGAGCTGTACAAAATGAAACGGTGTGGCGCGAGCAAATTTGGAGAGTCTTCTCAGGCAAGATGATCTCTGCAGGAGCGCTCTCTTTTCTCCAGCCCTCAAGGGACCTACTTGAAACAGACACTGTTTTCCTCCGATCAGATGCTCTCAGGTCACCTCTTGCCTCATCCTCACCCACATTTCTGGGGAAGCAATGTGGACTTTCAGCCTTTATACTGAACGTTTTCATCTTGCAAGGACAAAACCAAGCTGCAGACCCCGAGCACCTCCCACGCTCAAAGATTTATGAGTTTTTTAGGATAATGCAGGGGAGGGGTGGAAGGACACCAGCAATCTATGTCATCCACACGGTCCCAAGGGCTAGCACAGCAGCTTCCTTACATCTTCAGCAGCTTCCTTACATCTTCATCAGCTTCATTACATCTTCAACAGCTTCACCACATTTTCTCATACGTTCCTCACCACGTGGCACCAGGAGGATGGTAAATGAAGCCGAGATTTTCGATTGCCCTTTAGTCTCTCCTAAGAGCACGCAGGACTTTTAGGAGAGCCTAAAGGCTCTCTCCTAACGTATAGAGACTTGGTTGTTGGGCACAAAGCCAGTCAGGTGAAACGAGAAGGAACGCCCTCATTTTAAGCAGGCGATGCTCTTCTCCTAGCCCTGACTCATCTCGTTAAACTCACATTCATCCAGCCCTGGGACTGAAAATCGCACAGACAGTTGACGAAACCCCAGCCAACAAGCTCCCTTTGCACCACGTCCCGAAGGCTGCCCAGCCGCGGCGCTGGCACACGGAGAGCAGGGTGTCCTCTCCAGGGCAGAGCTCCTCGTTGGAGAACCCCTCTGCCATGCCCGGCTCAGCCCCTGGAAGCGCCCGGAGATGGGCAGCACCGCAGCCATGCAGAGGGAGACCGAGCGGGTGGGGACGCTTCGGGTTTACC